GGATTGGGCAGTGTTTCGTTCTGCTGTGCATGGGGTCGCTATGAGTCGGAAACGACTCGACGGCACTTAACAACAACAACAACATTGTATTGACTGGAAGCCATGGGAGTGATTTTAATTCCAGGGCTAGAGGGTGACAAGGGGCCACAGTCTTGGGGGTTTCCACCAGTCCCTGTCAGACCAGGAAGCCTCTTCCTTTTCATGATTTTGGTTTTGTCTCACAATTTTCTCCCACTCTATCCAGGATCTCCTACTTTGATCCCTTTCCGAGTGGTTGACAGTGATATGGTATAAATTTTTACTAGTTTTTTTTTCAATGCATAGATACACATGTGGTTTATATTTATATATATAAATATATGATTCTCCTTTAAAAACGTGCTCATTTCTGATCTCAGAACAATCAATTTAATTCAGCCAATATTTATAGATAACATACTATATGCAAAGTACTAGCTAACCACTTAATTCTAAGATGCTAAATCAATCTTTTTCCAAAATCATGAAAGAACTGGATTGTTTTTTTTTTTAAAAAAAGATGATAAAGAAACTACTCTTATGGTAACAGCTGAAGAAAATTATTCTGAGAGGCAATATGGCAGAATGTAAGAAACGTAGGACTCAAATTCTGGTCCTGTGCTACACAGCTCTGTGACCTTGGATAAGTTACTGAAAGGCTCTCAAGGGCCAGGCTGCCTCATTTATGAAACAGAAATAATAATATTTACCTAAGAGTCCCTATGAGAATTAAAGGAGATTAAGTATAGAATGCCAGGCAGCATATGATACATCTCAATATATAAGAACTATGGTTATCATCACCATTATTATAATGATTAAATTATGTTGCTAATATCCCCTCTTAACAGCAACTAAAGTAGCTGGATCAAAAAGTCAGGAATGGAGCTCTAAGAATTCAACTGATTTAACACTTCTGAGAGAAGTGAGTGGACTTATCTGTTTCAAACATATCTTGCGAAATTGGGTACTTTTCAAAAGCGTAATATAAAATCTTCTTAAATGGGACCATCAAGTACATTTATAAATCAGGAGACAAAGAAAGAAACAGGAGAGGAGAATATGTGAATAATGCAGTCAAAGTTCCTTGTTTGGAGAACCTGCCTTTTGTAGAGCAAACAATGCACACAATATCAGGAAATGTTTTTTTTTGACTGGCAGCTCTAGCTCAGAAGAAAATCACTTTATACATACACATATAGAGCAGTATTTATTTCATTGTAACACAGTCATTTTTTTAGTCTCCTTACCATTATTTTATCCTTATGTCAAGGGTAAAGAATGTATCTTACACATTTCTATACTGCTAATATATAGCTAACACTCAGTAACTATTGATGAAAGAATTTAGTGAAGAAACCAAAACTCCTATAGCTTGAATTCCATGGGGAATTAAACAGGGGAACTAACCCAGGCCTCTGCCTAGTAATTGAAATAGTAGCAACTGAATTATTTAAGCAAAGTTTTCATAATGGTACCATACCATGATCCAGCAAGACCAAGAAGTCTAGGTTAAGGACACAGAAGACAAAATGTGAATGTATGTTTGGTAGTGTATGTTTGCATGTCTCACTAAATTCAGAAGCATATAGAAAATGCTTTCAAATTATTAATTTTTATTATCTCTTCATCCCCTCTGGAAAGAGTGGAATGAGATAGCCATTACTAACAAGTAAATTTCTCAAATTTCCTAAGAAAGATAAAGCAGAGGGCAAAGAGAGTTTAACTTACCTCTCTCTTTGCAAAGGACAAAAAGGAATTCAGCAGCAATCTGCTTAACTCCAAGGTCAACATGTGTCATGAGGCGCACCAACTTATTTCTCACAGTTGAGCCAACTTCAGGCCGGTTTGTCACATCCCTCAATGGTGGTAAAACCTGAAGGCACAAATGCAAAAACTGTCATCAGCTGAAGGTACTAGAGCAAGCAAGGATGGTGCCATGTAACTGGTCAGTCTTGTAATGTCTAGTGGGCTCAGTTTTGTAACAGTGGAAAGTCATTAAATTTCTGAAAATAAAAGTAAATAAATAAAAGCATATGCAAACAACTTCATGCCTGTAATATTTTATTTGAATAGGAACATCTTCACTGTTCTACCACACTACGTGTAAATCTGTTTCTGAATTTTTACTCATCTCAGCACCTACACAGAATACTCCTTAAGAAAATCCATGCTAAAGGTTCGGTCAAGTTTCTCTTTCTTCCATGGAGACTTCCTTAATATTGACTCATATTCATTCTTAAAAAACCTATACTTACGCTTTCTAGTTGTTTTACTTCACAATGAAAAATAGTTATTATTGAGTGCTTTCTATGTGCTAAAAGAGCTCTGGTTATATAGTGGTTAAGGCATTTGGCTGCTAACCAAAGGTCAGTTTTGAACCCTCCAGGCACTTTGCAGAAGAAAGATGAGGCAGTCTGCTTTCATAAAGATTTACAGCCTTGGAAAACCAATGGGGGTCGCTATGAGTTAGAATTGACTCAATGGCAGTAAGTTTTTTTTTTTTTCTTATGTGCTAATCCCTGGAATATGGATCCCTGGTGGCACAATGGGGAGTTCTGGTTGCTCAGTGGTTAAGCACTCAGCTCCCAGCCTTAAAGGTTGGCAATTTGAAGCTACCAGCTGCTTGGCAGGAGAAAGATATGGCAGTCTGCTTTTATAAAAATTACAGCCTTGGAAAACTTAGAGACAGTTCTACATGTCCTACAGGGGCCTTATGAGTTATAATCGACTCAATGGCAGAGGTTGTTTTTCTGGTTTGGTGGTACAATAGTTAAGTGCTCAGCTGCTCACTAAAAGGTTTGCAGTTTGAAGCCATCCAACAGCTCTGGGAGAAAGACCTGGCAATCTACTCCCATAAAGGTTACAGCCAAGAAAACCCTATGGGACACTTCTACTCTGTCACATGGGGTTGCTATAAATTGAAATTGACTCAATAGCTCCCAACGACAACAATCCCTGGAATAGCTGGGTTACACACATTATCTGTAATGCCCAGTAATCCTACAAAGTAGGCAACACTGGCATCATCTCTATTCTATGGACCAGAGGCTTACGTAACTTGCTTAGTTTGTTTCTCACTCACCCTTCCATCCGCCCACACTCCCCTCTCCTGGTTCTCTTCCTACCTCATTGGTTGCTCTGTCTCAACTTCTTTTGCCAAGTACCTTTTTTATTTCTGGCTTCTAAATGTTGGAACATTCAAGGAGTCAGTTCTTGGACAATTTTTCTTCATTATCTTCACTCACTCCATTGGTGATCTCATTCAGTTTCATGGCTTTATATGCTGTGAGGACTTTATATAGCTGATATAACTAAGCTATATCTCTATCTTGATTTCTCCTGACCTCTGGACTCCTTTAGGTAACTCAAATTGAACATGTCCTAAATGGGATTCTCGATGCTTCCACCAAACCTGCTCTTTCCAGTTTTGTCATTTCATTAAATGACAAGTCCATTCTTCCATTTGTTTAGGACAAAAACTTGGAAATATCCTTCATGACTTTCTTTCACACTTCATATCCAATACATCAGCAAATTATGTCAGCTCTCTCTCTGAAATATACCAGAGTCCAATCACTTCTCACCACCTCTTCCAGTATCACCGGTTATGTCTCATCTGGACCACTGAGATAGCCTCCTATGTGGTCCCAGAAGTTTATTCTCTATAGAGCAGCTAATGATCCTCTGAAAGTCAGATCATGTCACTTCTTTTCTCAAAGCCCTCTGATTTCCATGGCTTCCTATCTAACTCACAGTGAAATAAATGCAAGGACTGGACAACTGTCTTACAAAGCTCCATGAAATCTAGCTCCCTGTGACTTCTTCAACTTCATTTCTACTATCATCTTCACTTATACTGCTGCAGTCACCACGGGATTCCTTAAACATGACATACACTTTCCTACTTCAGAGTCTCTGCATTTGTTGTTCTCTCTGCCCAGAAACACTTTTTCTAGAAATCTGCACAGCTCACTCATTACTTCTGGTCTTTGGTCAAATGTCACTTATAAGAGACCTTCCCTGACCTTTCTTGTTATGCCATCGAGTGCTGTAGAGTCAGACACAACTCATAGCGACCCTCCTTGAGTTTCCGATGTGCTATCACTATGGAAGTTGATTGCCCAACCTTCCTTTCGAGGAGTGGCTGGTGGGTTTGAACTGCCAGCCTTCTGGTTAGCAGTCAAGTGCCTTAGCCACTATGCTACCAGGGCTCCAACTAAGCTTTAGCATCTTCTTTTTTTTTACCTCCTTACTTTGTGCTTTAATCTTCTTTATAACACTTATCACCACCTGGCATGCTGTGTTGTGAGGTGCTGTCGAGTCAGTTCTGACTCACAGTGACCCTGTGTACAACAGAACAAAACACTGCCTGGTCCTGCACCATCTTGAGAATTGCTGCCATGCTTGAACCCATCATCACAGCCACTGTGACAACCCATCTTATTGAGGGTCTTCACCTTTATCTGCTCTATCACCTTTATCTATTTTCCCTAGCATGCTATCCTTCTCCAGGGACTCATCCCTTCTGACAGGATGACCAATGTATGAGAGATGAAGTCTGGCCACTCCCGCTTCTAAGAAGCATTCTGGCTACATTTCCTCCAAGACAGATTTGTTTGCTCTTCAGCAATCCAGGGTACATTCCTAGGGATCAATTCTTCTGCAGTCTTCCACTCATCTGTCAGTTTGTTGTATTGTGGTGGCTTGTGTGTTGCTGTGATGCTGGATGCCATCAGTATTTCATATACCAGCAGGGTCACCCAAGGTGGACAGGTTTCAATGGAGCTTCCAGACCAAGACAGACTAGGAAGAAGGATGTGGTGAGGTCAACTTCTGAAAAAAACAGGCCACTAAAAATGTTATGAATAGTGATTGAAGCTGGCATAGTGTATGTTTGTTGACTGTCTGCCTTTTTCCACAAGAATAAATTCCATGGGGACAGGAAACTTTTTGTTTACTGCTCTTTTCCCAGTGTCCAGCATATTATAGGTATTCAATAAATATTTAGTGATTGCAGGAAGAAGGAATTACTTTAAGTAATGTTCTCCAAGCAAGGTACTATGCTAGGAAATAGGAACAAACACAAAGTCAATTAATTTACTGTGTACTTATTCTGTTTTGGACTATTTTATGAACCTAATGTGTATACACTGTTTTATTTAATCCATTCAACTGATTTCCTTCCTTTTCTCTATATTGACTGCCTATCAGGAGGCAACAGAGACTAAGTCAAAGCAACCAATGTGGAAAGTAGGGGATATAACTGGACAAAAATGGAAACTAAATCTCAAAAATTTAAGTAATCTACCTAAAGTGCTTAAGAATAGTATTTCAATATCTCTAGCAGGAAGGAGCACAATGCTAGGCACAAAATAATTTCACTATAAATTCTTGATTGATTGAGCCAACTAGAATGAGTTTATCTCTCATTTCTAGAGAAATGAGACATTTAACAACTGATTTCAAAGTACTGTGTATCTATACTCCAGAGCACAAAATCTGTTAATAAAGATCATCACAGAAACATTTTAATCTATATTTTTATTTCCTTAAAACAAGTTCTTTATGGAATTTTGTTGTTCTTATATACCACCTACAAACCGCAAATGCATGGCCCCTTATCATGTTCCCCCAAAATATTGCTATCTAACAATTTTCTCCCCCTGTGGCAAATCTTGGGAGTTCTGGTAGCATAGTGCCTAAGGCATTTGACTGCTAACCAGAAGGCTGGTTGTTCAAACCCACCAGCCACTCCTCAGAAAGAAGACTGGGCAATCTGCTTTCATAGAGATACTGCCTTGGAAACCCAAGAGGGGTCTCTGTGTCAGATTCGATTCGACAGCACTGAGTTTGGCGTTTTTTTTTTTTTTAATGACAAATCTTGTCCAGTTCTCTTTCAAAGCCACTGAATATGCATCTCTTTTATAAGCTTGTCCAGACTAACACAAACTGGGTCAGTTATTTCTATCATCTGTTCTTTTTTACTTGCCCAAATACTGAAAACTCAAGACCAATTTCCTTTGGGTATGCATGAATTAGATAAATCAGGTATTCACTACACAGCATAATAATTAATTAACCATGGTTGAAATTATACTATTATCAAAGCTAATCATCTATTATATCTTTTATGATCATCACAGTCTACAGGCCACCCTCTTGAGTAGGCATGTTTATTTCTGTACGTTGTCTTGTATCTTTAGTTAGCACTGTCATGTCTCATTTAATTACCTACACTGTAGTCCTTCTTGAGGACAGGGAGTGGCTGCTACAACCTTTTGTACCTATACAATATGTGGCCCAAAACCTTCATATAAATAAGTTATTTAACCCATAGATTTTTGACTGTCTTAGTTAAAGACAGTCAGTGTAGTTGAACTTGGATCCTTGTGTAAAAAAAGCAAACTATGGTTAAGTACTTTTATTAATTATTTTTCACCAAGATCTAGTTAAGGCTGCTATTGCTGTTAGCAGCTGTCAAGTTGATTGAGACTTACGGTGACTCCATGTGTGCAGAACAGAAGTGCTCCATACAGTTTTCAAGGCTGTGACCTTTCAGAAGCACCTTTTAGATCTCTAGTGCCTGTCTTCTGAGAGCCTGGGTAGGTCTAAACTACTAACCTTTCAGTTAGTAGTCAAGTGCTTACCCATTTGCATAGAATATGTTAAAATAATCAAACTTGGAAATGACCTTAATTCATCAGTTCATTTATTTGACTTAAGTAATTATTCATGGTTCTCCCAAGGAGCTCTGATGGGGTAGTGCCTAAGGCATCTGACTACTAACCAGAAGGCTAGTGGTTTAAACCCACCAGCCACTCCTCAGAAGGAAGGCTGGGCAATCTACTTCCATAGTGATACCATCTTGCAAACCCAAGGAGGGGTCGCTATGAGTCGGATCCGACTCAACAGCAATGAGTTTGATTTTGTTTGAGTATTCTCCCAACAGACTGTAAAATCCTTAGAGTTCCTACTTACTAATCTCCCCTTAGGGAGCTCTGGTAGGGTAGTGCCTAAAGCCCTTGACTACTAACCAGAAGGTTGGCGGTTCAAACCCACCAGCCACTCCTCGGAAGGAGGGTTGGGCAATCTACTTCTGCAGTGATACCGCCTTGGAAACCCAAGGAGGGGTCGCTATGAGTCGGGTCCGACTTGAGGGCAAACAACAACAACAACAACAACAATCCCTCCTTAATAGCAATACCTACTTCTTGTTGTTGTTATGCGCTGTCGAGTCAAACCCGACTCACAGCGACCCCTTCTTGGGTTTCCGAGGCAGTATCACTACGGAAGTAGGATTGCCAAACCTTCCTTCCGAGAAGTGGCTGGTGGATTTGAACTGCCAGCCGTCTGGTTAGCAGGCAAGTGTCTTAGCCACTATGCTACCAGAGCTCCCCAATACCTACTAGGAATGCTTTAAGCATGGGGGGGAAAAAAAAAACCTCAACTGCCATTGAGCTGGATCCAACTCATAGCTACCCCTCCTTGGATTTCCAAGGCGGTATCTCTACAGAAGTAGACTGCCCATCCTCCTTCTGAACAGTGGCTGGTGGGTTTGAACTGCCAGCCTATTGGTTAGCAGTCAAGTGCCTTAGGCACTATGCCACCAGATGTTTAATAAATCCTGACCATAAAAAACTGTAGAGGTGGAAAATGAACCTGATTCATTTATTAGGGAAACTTATGTAGATAAGTGAACAATAGGGTACGTAGATAAGTGAACAATAGGGTGAATGCTGGTAACATGTATTGAAATGTGGAAAAAGTGAAGAAAACATGTTGGGAATGGAGGATTAAGAGATGAGTAGGCAAGTTACTTATGTAAGTCTGGAACTTAGGGGACAGGTCAGGGTTGGAGATATAAATTTGGAAATCATCAGCATTTAGATGGTTTTCAAAACCATGACTGCTGAATGAGCTCACCAAAGGAGTGGAAATGGAGGCAAAGACTGAGAATTGAGCCTTAGGGCACTTTACCATCTAGGGTGGGGAAAAGGAGAAAGATTGAACAAAAAAGAGGTTCCCTATTGTGACTTAGAAAACTAGTAAGTGACCAAAGTATTTCAAGGAAAGAATACCCAATTATATAAAAATGTTACTGGGGAATAAAAAAATGAACATCTGCAAACTGGCTATTAGATTTGGTGTCAATAATGAGTTGGTGACTTTGATGGGAGTTTTATAGTAGGGTGGAAAGCATGAAAGCCTAATTACAGAGGATTAAGGACAGAATCAAAGGAAAAAAAGAATAGTGAGGGTAAGTACAGGAAAAAACTGTTCTAAAAAACAACACATAAAGAGGAGCTGAGAAATGGGGAGGCAGCTTGAGAAGCAGAGTTAAGGGACAGTTTTTTGTTTTCACGATGGATGATGTGTTTGGGTGCTGACAGAAATGATCCAATACATCTTTAAAAAATGATTAATATAAGAAGAGGGGAAATAAATGCAGGCACAGAGTTGTTGAGAAGGAATGGAATCCAGGGCATAAGTGAAGAGAGTGACCAGAGACAGCAGCAGGAGCAATTCATCCACTGTGACACAGAGGGAGACAAACGATATGGCAGTACAAACGCAGACTGATGGTAGATGCAATGGTGGGAAAATGAAATTTTCTCTTAATTTCTTAATGGAAAAACAAGGTCAACAAATGAGTAAGGAAAAGAGAGCGTTAGAGTTCTGAGGAGAAAGGAGTTGTGAAGTGTGCTTGGAGTGTGCTAGGGGCTCACTTGGTGTTGGTGGTTGTGGTGGTTAAGTTTGTGTGTCAACTTGGCTGGGCCTGGTTGACTGGCTGGGCAGCGGGATGTAGTATTCCCCACGATGAGACTGATCATCAACTCCATGGTGGAATCTACTGTGAGCAGCTGAGTTGGCTGCCTTAGGGACGTGGTCTATTTCCTATATACAAGGAGAAACTTTGGGGATAGCCTCTAGCTTATGGCACGCTTGAATCCTGCATGTAGACATGTCGTTGTTCAGCAGCCTGCCATGCTCTGCCGACCTTGGGACTTTCCATGGACTTGAATTAATGTTCTGCCATGTAGTTTGGCTACATTGGGACTGTGTCTTTTTACTTGTCAACCTTAAGCTTGTCAGTCTCAGCAGCTAGCAGCTGCCTGAGTGAAGAAAAGCCCCTAGCTCCAGTGGGCCAGGAGCAGGAGGCAGAGCTGAAGCCCAAGGTTGAGGGGCTTTCACCCAGCCCTTAGAGCCTGGCACTTTGAACTTGGACTTAAAGCCTCCAAACTGTAAAAGAATAAAGTCCTGTTTGTTAAGGCCATCCCCTTTGTGGTATATTCCTGTCAGAGCAGCACTAGGGGACCAGAACAGTGGTCTTTAAATATAATGCAGACCAGTCAACATGGTTATGTTATCTTCTCTCATCATGCTCAAATGCTAAGGTGGAGGCCCAGATTAGGTGGAAGGCTGGCTTTAACCAGTTTGTTGAGTTTTGCCAGATGAGAGTGAGGGTGGGAAATAGACAGAGAGAGAGAGAGAGACAGAGAGAGAGAGAGAGAGAGAGAGAGAGAGAGGTGTGTTGATTAAAGATGTACGCAAAGAAGTGACTGTAATTATGAACGACAGATGGAACCTAGATTGGGAAAGAGGGAAATAAGAACATTAGGTGAGTGAAGGACAGTTGGGGTGGGGTGGGGAGGTAGGGGTATGACTGACTGATAATCCACATGCGACCGAAGCAGTACTGAATTGGGGGTACGAGAAAGGGGAAGCAGAAACTGAGAGCCTCGAAACTGAGTTTCAGTTACTCAGCTAGTTTTAGTTATGGTTAATATCACAGTCTTACACTTGGAACTTATGATCTAAAACTTTAAAAGTCAAAGTCATCCTTGATTCTTTTCTTTCTTAATTCCTATCCCAATCAGCAAGGGTATGAGATCTGCTTTCAAAACATATCCCAAACCATGAACTCCAAACACTATTATTCTACTCCAAGCCTTCATGATCAGCTTTTGGGCTACTGTTGTTGTTGTTGTTGTAATGTGCCATTGAATTGTCTCCGACTCACAGTGACCCCTCCTTGGGTTTCTAAGGCAGTATCACTATGGAAGTAGATTGCCCAATCTTTCTTCCGAGGAGTGGCTGGTGGATTTGAACCACCAACCATCTGGTTAGTAGTCAAGTGCCTTAAGTACTATGCCACCAGAGCTCCCTAGTAGCTTCTAACTGGTCTCCTCCCATCCACTCACACTCTTCTACTGTCTATCTTACATGCAGCAACGAAGGCATCTTTTAACAGAAATGAGATTGTATCACTCCCTTTCTTAAAACACTTCCATGCTTTTTCATCTTTCTTAGAAGTCTTTTTTTTTTTTAATAATATTATTTTGCAAAGTAACTGAATTGTTAAATCAATTACAAATGAAAATCACCTTAATTTCAGCCAAATTTTTTCCTATTTCTCTCATTATCTTCATTTTAGTTCCTTTTCACATTTTATGCTACATAGTTATCATCACACAACAGTGTATGTTTTTTAAAATTAACTATTTAAAAATACATGTTATTGAAATATAATTTACATACAGCAAAATACACAAAACTAAAGTGACATGGGTCAATGCAATTTTTTTTATTTTTGCAGTGTTCCGTTCCCTCCCTTCCCCTCCCACCACTGGTAACCAACAAAGAAAGTTTCCCTCCATATATAAACCTTTCCTTGACATTTTATGATAATGAACTAACATTATATTTGTCCTTGCATGATTGACTTATTTCACTCAGCATAATGTCCTCCAAGTTCATCCATGTAAGAGAAGTCTTGCACAACAACACATTATCTGGCCCTTGCTTACCTCTTGAACTTTACCACTCTCCCGTTATGCATTGTGGTCTAGCCACACTGGTCGTCTTGCTTTTCCTTAAGCATAGCAAAGCATCCTCTCATCTCAGGGACTTAGAATCTTTTCTTTCTGGTAGAGTCCTCTTCCAGATATTCTCAGGGCTCCTTCTCTCATTTATTTTCTGCTCCAATGCCAGCTCTTCAGAGAAGCGTTCCTCCTCCATTTATCTTCCAAAGTCTCCCTTTCCTCTTTCTTCAGAACACTTACCACTACTTGCCATTACACATTTATTTTTGTATGTATTTATTTGTTTACTTTTTGTTTCTTACTGTAAGGTATTTCATTGTTCATATGTTTATTGTATATGCTCAATAAACATTTGTTGAATAAACGAATAACTCAAACATACCCAAGATTACTTATTTCTTGATTAGGAAGATTCCAAAGGTTAAAATAAACTTTTCTGAGTTTCTAATTTTCTGAAAGAAAATCATTACAAGAATTCAACTCATTCTTTCTTAAAAAGAGAAAAGATACATATAAGAAGATTAACTTTAAGATGTAATATGCATTAAGTAGCTAGTTACCTGATCTTTGAGAAATTTTCTGATATTTCGATGAGCTCGGGAACATTCAGTTAATAAGCTGAGAACTGGAGTTAGACCTTCTCTATAGCTGCTTCCCTATAAAGAAAATCGTACGTACTGATTAGTTGAGTATCTGATAGTAGTATTTTCCTCCATGTAACGAAGCACATTAATGCTTTTCTTTTTTGGGTGTGTGTGTGTATGTGTGGGTAGAGGGGTGGTAAAATATCTTTTTTTAACCAAAGATTTACAAACTATTTTAAAAATTATTTCCCTTACAGCATTTCCAATTTCATTATTATCCTCCTGTTTACTAAAGCCCATTTTTGTCTTTAATGGATTTTCTTCTATTTTCTATGATCCATACTGGCTCCGTCAATGGCTTTAAATGAGGCAAAGATTTTAGAGATCCATCAACACTACTCTTTTAATATAACGACCTAACCAATAATGTGACAGATCAGAGAAAATAAGCAGCTCACAACAGATGGAAAATTGGTGTATTTTCATGTATTAGGGAAAGTACTTGTATCATCAAGTTTTTTGGGGGATAATTTTTACTTCAAGGACTTTCAAAGTACTTACATGAAACAGTAATTAATTTTTCCTTTGTTTTCAGAAACTAGTAATAATTTTGGTGATGTATCAACACAATTTTCATTATTAAACAAATAAATTCACTTGGTTTCATTACTTTATCATATACTATAATAAAACACTTTCCAGTGTACAAACAATTATGCAAGACATCAGCTACGAAAAGCTTAGATTCAAAAATCATGTGTGTGTTTGTGTAAGTGGCACACTGACATTCTTTAGAAACATCCTCCCAGCTCCCCATTCTGTCTTACCTTGTCTATTCTCTTCTCCATAAAATTGAGTAAAACATGAATGGCCTCCATATTCATACCATTGTATGCCATGGTATTATTTTCCAAAACTGATTCTTTCTCAGCTGTTTTATCACTGGGCAGTTCATCTAGAGTCGTTGCCTCTTGGGCTGTTTCTTCATGGGTTAATGGACAAATGAGAACATCCAAACAAGAGACTGGAACATTGCTTAAAAGGTTGACTGCATTGCTGCAAAGCAATTGAAAAATACAATATTTTGATTGAATAGTCCTTTAAAATGTAAACATAAGGAGTTCAGAAATGACTTCTAGGAGTCAATTAAAAATTTTCTCTTTCAAAATGAGCTATTAATATTACTTGGCATTTACTGAATAATTGGTTGAAAATAAAGAAAGAACACATATGACAAATTAGAAAGAACAGATGTTAAATGGACAGACACAATCACACGATGTCATGTCACTTTCTTAAATGCTAAAATAAGAGTTAGTGAGCTTTCACGCCAGTCTTTAATTTTATTGTAACAATGCTAGCTTTGCATTTTTCTTCTCCTGGAGTTTTAAATCCTTCTGTGGATCCACTGGTGTTCTAGTATTCCTCAGATTGCAATGTAAAGCATTTGAGACGTACAGTGTATAAGCAGCTTATATCACAGAGACAACAAAATTAAAAACCAAATATTGTAGGATTAAGTTTTCTTCCTTCCAGCTGTAGAAAACCCAATTTTTAAACCATCTCATTTTTTTGCTAAACATTTTCAGAAAAAGTAATGGTGCTTTTTATTCCCCTCCCATCATCTCTCATCTCTTTAAAAAGCCAGCATATTTCTAAACTCTACCCCCTGGGCCTTTCGGCTATGTAGTAATGAATACAGGAGCCCGGGATGCACACCAGTAGGGGGAACTCAAACACTGTATTTTTGGCATTCCCTAAAAACTTGGTTCTGTTGCTCTGTGTACAAGATTAAAATGATGCTAATTAATTTCAAAATTGGACATGTTCTCAACATAGTTTTCTCTCTGCATTATTTCAAATTCTTTCCTCTAACAGAAGAGAGAGTGTTCTCAGCTAACTGAATCTTACAAGCCTGTGCCTCAGAACTTCCTGATAAACAACAATGGAAAGAAAGGCATTACATTTCCTAGTGACAGAGAAGTCCATCTAAAAATAACCACATCCTGACTAAAAATAAACTCTTGTAAATGCAATTTAAAAGCCTAACCACTTAGAAACCACATTCAGGGCTTAATCTATCTGATGCTTTCTTAATTTAGACCATAGTAGTTCCTTTTAATTTAAATTATAATAAAATAAAACAAACAAAAATGTAAATAAAATACAAAATTTTTTACTTTCTTTTTCCCCCAGAAGTGTGGCTTCATTTTCCCAAAAATATTTCTTTTATTTCTCTTTATATTGTGGAAAAATAAAAATTGAAAAGAAATTAAAATTTAAAAATTAGGCAATGTATAAATAATGAGTGGTAACATACAGGTAGGTCATCAAAAAATTCTGAATCAAGAGCAAAAATAATTTATAAGTCCTATGAATTAATGATTCCTGGTGAAATACCAATTATTTAGTTGCCTTAACTGAAAAATGACTACTAAACCCTCTCCTCATTTATTAACATGGTTAGATTCCAAAGACTAGGTAGTTATTTGAAAATCAGCATATTAAAAATTGGACGATTTCTTTTGTTTTCTACCATTTGTCCCATTTTACTTGATTTAGAAAATAGAAATAGTAAGAGCTAAGATTTATTCATGTGCTCATCACTGTGACAGTCCAGTTATGAGCCGTTATTCCTCGGCAGCTTGGAGGAGACAAAGCTGGATAAAGCCTGTGTGACTAGATGGCCCACGGCTTAACCACTTCCCCTTCCTCCTGAGCTGGGTCACAGCTTGCCTCCCAAAGCCACCTCCTGGGCTCCACTCCCACCCCTGCACGTCCTGTGTTCAAGCCTGGGAGGCTGCTCTGCCCTCCGGGTATGGGAAGTCACCAAGACTCAGGGCTTCCTGTGAGGGACCTGGGACCTGACTGGGAACCTGGCGCACACGGGGCTCCACTGAGGTGGAGACTCCAGGCCCAGTCTGGCTCACTTTGAGAAGTCATTAAACTCTCACACATTTTTTTGGCAAACACCCTCTCTCATGCCTCTTTCTTTTCTTCCTTCCTGTGCCCTGGCAATTTTCCGCTGCAGGGCCTCAGACAGCATAGGAGCTGGGAACCTAGAACAAGGCCTGAGCCCAAAGGCTGTGGCCCTGGAAGAGGCCGATCAAGGCAGACTGCTGGCCCTCCTTGAGGGAGAGGACGCTCCACAGCCACCGCTGCCATGCCCAACGTCCTCTGCAAAATGTTCAGATAGCTTTTTACTATTGTTGTGAATGTGAAATGTCAGATAATGAGACAGTTGGTAAGTGAGGAGTATGTGTCCTAGTATTACCACACTGCTGCCCCCACTACCACACAAAGTCCCTCATTTTGGTTATTTGTAAAAAACCCCAAGTTGGTTGAAATAGAATTCTTTTCCCACAAACTTAAAAATAATTTTTTGCAAAAATATACAGTTCCTTATTTACAGTTAAACTTGTTTTACTACTTTCTGTCTTAAGTATTTGCAGACTGTTATTAAATACCATTGATTCACTGGGGCAAAAAGGAAAAAAAAATCTACTTAGAATTACTTTCCAAAACAGTTCCAAGTTACTCTGAAATTCTAGGATTCAAAAGAAAAAAAAAAATCAGGGCAAAAAGCTCTAGAGTCCATTGATAGTATGATTCTCTGTATCTACCATAGAGACCACACTGAATAGTTTAAGATGGCCCATTTCATTACAAAGGAATGTGCCCCCTTTAAATTCATTTAAAGTAAACAGTTTCCAGGAATTCAGTAAATTTAAGAAACCAAATGTAGAGTTTGGTTCAACAAATATTTGGAGGTTTAGGCTTTTTAAGAAAAGTTCCCATTTTCTCATCTCTTATTAAATGACTGGGTTTCCAAACAACTACAAAATTAATTTTCTGGCTCACTGTGTTTGAGCTATTCTTTTTAAGTAAGGAAGGCCAGCTTTTTGAGCTCTGTCACTTCCCTGACAGTTTTATTTGTGGTAGAAGAGTGTATGAAATTCTCCAGCTACCAGGAAGTCAGTGACTATGCACAGAGCTGCACAATGGTGTTTGCATTCCTACTCCAGGGGGTAGAAATACTGTGTATATTACGCTCCCCTTTTCAGCTTCCCAGAGATCATTAATCACTGAGACATGACATCCTCCCGTTCATACTCCCAGCCCCCTCCTGATATGCAGATTGGAAAGCAGCGCCTATTTAGAGCTCCTTAACGCCATGATTAAAGCCTCTTAGTTGTGGGAGAGGGAAGGCAATCTAAAACCCACTCCTGTATCAATCACTGGACTAAACATAATTTACTATCACAACACCTCTGACACACAGAAGAATGACACCAAGGAGCACGGCAACGGCACACCTAGACAGCAGCTGTTAACAAATCTTCCTGGCCAAGGGTATCTTCTTTCTATCTAGAGCTCATGTATCTTTCGTCAAGGCCAGAAAGTCCTTTTAAATGAATTTTAACATCTTCAAAAGACTTTTATATGTAAAAAGCCAAGTTCAAATTAATTCAGTTTAGCAATTGCTGATTAAGAGCTTACCATAGGGTCACTATGAGTCAGAATCGACTCTGGCAGCAGGTTATATGCCAGGCATTAGTCAAGCTTTGTGAAGAAAATAAGGGAAAAATCCCTGCCCTCATGGAGCTTATGGTCTAGCATGGGAAGAATAGTCAGTAACACCTAAATCAACAAAAGGAGCTGCAGGCTATGGTGTGTGTGTGTGGGGGGGGGGGGGTTGGCCCCTGTGGGCTGCTCTGGTGGCTAGTCCATGCACTGCACCACAGACCAGTGGGGAAGTGGGGGTCTTCCCAGGGATCAGAGGGTTGCTGTCACTGAGCATGTCGGTGCTGGTGTGGAAAAGCGCAAAAGATCAAAAACACTTCATAAACCACGAGGGCAACAACAAAAGGAAGAGCAGTTGCTCTCTGCCAAATGTCATGGCTGAAGATAATCTTGGTACTGATGGCTTTGGTTCATGTGAAAGAACTTTAGTTTGTCCTATGTATCACCTCATCTTTGAAGATCACATATATGAGAAGTTAAGACAGTCATCAATGAAGGGAATGGCATGCACATGGACTAACAGATCTCGGCTGGGCTGCCAAATGTGTTTGACAAAGTCAATGGACAATATGACTGTTTGAGTGTTCAATGCCAGGCAATACATTGATAAGTGCGGGAATTGTAAAATAGAATAAATAGGTAAATTTTCATGAACATTTACTTATTTTAAATTATTATTTCTTAATTTAATTAAGTAAGAACATGCATAAATGGCTTTATTATTCTAACCAGTTTTACTATTTTAATTCACCATGTATAATAACTGGATCCTGTAGTTCTGCAAGTACTCAATCTTTATGTTGGTTAAATTATAAAATGTCAACCAAATATGAGAAAATAGTTTATTACTGTTTAGCAACTTTAGCAAAATGTTTTCTTATAGATCTGATGTCGACTTACCTAGGAGGTAGGTTGAAAAAGGTATTACTGTTCCTATTGGAACTGGGTAAAGGCAGAGATTTAAAGTAGCTTGTCTAGGGCCTACAACTAATTAGAAGATCTGGCACTAGAACCTACATCTTGTTACTACAAATTACACATTCAGATAAACCGGAGAAAGTATGGTTATCTTAGTTATAAAAGCAATAAAATATGAATATATACAGACAAAAAAACCTTTAATTGCTTGGTGAATTAATTCCAAAAACAGTTATTAACTTTATAAAGAATTGAAACATATAGGGATTATACACTAAATAAAGTTTGATCTCTGTTCTGAATAACTGGAGGAATAAGCTAAAAACCCTGTCTTCATTCTTTTCTGTTCTAATCAGAATGGTCCTTGCAATCTTTTAAAAATAATGCTGATTTATAAATCTATGCCTCTAGCAGAATGGAAGTGTTCTTAGGAATGAGGTTCTCTCCCTTCTGAGCAAGAAGAAATGAGCCTGCTGCCACAATGAATAGCCCCAGGGGGCGCCATTTTCTTAAACAAGGTGGAGTTGTACAGAATTCCCAGAAATTTGGGAATGGTTTTGAGTGCCACAGATTACTAGTTATTTTATAGAAAACATCTGTATTATTATCTTTAT